TATATATATAAATATAATTTTAAAACTTTTGAAAAATAAGCTAGAGGAAAAATGTGACACATTCTCAAGAGAAAAGGCAATTGACAAAGACAAATAACATGAGTTAGATACTAGAATTATAAGACAGTGTTAAAACAGCCATTCTAACTTAATAAAGTAGAAGCAAATATATTTAAAATAAATTATAAGATAATACTAAAAGATAAAGAATAAATTTACTTAGGAATTCTGTACAACTTTTGCATATACTTTTCGGTCAAACTATTGCAAATTTAAAAATATGAGTGATAAGAAAAAAAAAAAATCCTTGGGAGCCAGGAGATGGCATAGTCACTACGTCACTGGACTCCCACGTGGCCAACCATGGCTCGTATCCCAGATCCAGTGGCCTGAAACGCATGTCAGGCTTGTGTCCATGTGTGCCCGAGATCCAGGGAGGAGAATGGAGGAGAAAGGATTGTGGCGTGGCAACCCCTTTAGGGGATGATTTCTCACTTTCCCTCTCACTGTCTCTCTGTCTGGGGAGTACATGAATCCTAAAGCAAAATCTTATTAAAACAAAACAACGGGACCAGCAGTTAGCATAATGGCTATGTCACTGGACTCCCACATAGTCGACCGTGGTTCGAGTCCTAGACCTGGTGGCTTAAACTCACGCCAGGCGCGTGTGTGTGTATGCCCAAGATCCTGAGAGGAGAATGGAGAAGGGATTGTAGCGTGGCCATACCTCCTGGAAGGGTGGATTTCTCGCTTTCTGTCTCTCTGTCTCTGTCTGGCGAGTGCATGCGCCCTATAGCAAAAAAACCTCTCCCAAAAAAGAAAAAAATTTAAAACAAAACAAAACAAAATGTAAAAAAGAAAAATCCTAGAACTAAAAACATGTTCTGGCACCAAAAGGTGGCATGGTGGTTAAGGTGCTGGATCCCACATGACTGACTGCAGTTCAAGTTCTGGACCCAGTGGCTTGAAAAACACACCAGGCACATACATGCTAAAATTTCTGAGGAGAGAGTGGAGAAGGAATTGTGGCAGGGGCATCCCCCCCCCGGGGGGGGGGGGGGGTGC